TTAATAAACTAAACGTTCACCAAAAAACTTTAGTGAGAAAAATCGAAAAAACGAACTACAAACATATTAACGCCAAACATTCGGTAGAATTTATAGAATATTGTAAAAATATATATAATTGTGAAGTAATCGTTGTTTTTTGTACATTCTAAATTTTCTATGCTTTGTTGAATTTTTAAAAATTTTTGCTCCCGTCTTAGCATCATAAAATGAAATTTGGCAATTTTTGAACATTTTAATTAAAAAAAACTTTGATAAACATTACCAATTAATTACCAATTTTTTAATCATAATTTTCAAAAATAATTTATTTGATAATTAGATATTTTATAGTTTTTCGTTCACAATCAAGCAAGATGAGTGGCGGGTGGGTGCAGTTAAGTCTGATGTATCCAATAATATCAACGAGCAACCGAAGCCATATGAAATTATCGTTCATCGAAAGAAAACAAGCTCCGATTTACTTGCTGATATTAAGGACAACATCAGCATTCAAGCTTTCCGAACCAAGGAACATAATATCTTTTTATGTGGATCGATGTGTCTGTCTACTGTTTCAAGTAAAAAATAACTTCATTAGTTCATTGTTGATTATAACCATGAGTTTGTTTGTAATTATCCAGTTCAAAGTTGCGGTAACTTGAGCTGCACTGTTTTATACTCTGCAATTAAATTATAGATCAACATTTACAATGAAATTTTACGTTCAGTGGGCCTTTAGCAAGAAAGAAAAAGCAAATAGATTGTAAACGTGTTGCATACCAGATGGTTGCCGTCTCAAACAGTGAAAGTTGCCACCAACATATCCCACAAGCGTGGAACGTTTAAAATACTATAAAAACCGCTCATTAATTGCATTCATTATAACATAAATTAAGACTTTTCATTTTCATGTATTGCAGGTGCACAAATAATTAAACTTCTCATGGCCTCTCCCGCTCTTCGCTGGAAAATTAAAACGTCACTTCACAACTTTCATGAAAAATTGTTTAAGATTATAATAAGGGGCCAACTACGATAAGCTACAAGACGCATTTGTGTATTTATCAAAAATTTTCAAATTTCTTGCCTGAATTAAAGATTAAACACGTCAAATAATGTTTAGAATGTGTTAATCAATTTAAAATTTTTACCTACAATTTCCCAAATCGGATTGATTAGCATTTAAATGCTCGCTTGGAAAATCTTAGTCGCGTCCAGTGGTTTATTTTCTGATTCTGTGAAGTTTCGACGATGATCCAATCAAAATTGATTCGTGTTTCATGGGACAAAGCCTGATATAATTTAAATTTTATAAATTTATTGGCAAACAAACTCTGCTATTATTAAAGCACAACATTGTTTAATGAAAATCACACAACATTACGCACAAGGACATAGCTACATAAAAATAACAACTCCAATTTTCAATTCAACTTCAACTTCACAAGTATCTTTATTTTTGCTACCAGTCGGTTTAGACGTGTTGTGTATTGGAGGGAGCACTCGTTGAATGTATGAGATGAGTTGTTGTTGTTAACTGTCGTGCATAATGAAGGCAGAATCGATCGTTCGTTTGCGCCGTCTGAAAAGTTGGAAATGATCATCGTTACGTTGCAGTTGTATGTAATATTAAATCTCAAAAAAGAAGCACATTTCACATTTGAGCCTAAAAATGAGAACTTGGTGGTAAGGTAGTGTAGTGTAGTGTTTGAAGCGACTGGTCCTGCTGTTACTGTCACCGATTGCTTCCGATGCAACCTCTGCCTGTTAATGTAACATTGTAATGTGCGTGCGTGATGCGTGGATTTACGCGTATTCAGATGTACTGTGTTTGCAAGAGGTGCGTGTGCGCGCGTGTGTGTGTGCGTGTGTGGGGTGTGTGTGTATCTTTGAGATTTAATTAAGAAAGTAAATATTAAAGATAATTATTTTAACAATTTTATAAGGTCTGATCAACTAGCTTTTAAAACACATGGGAGGGTATGGGTAATATAAACATAAAATTAAAATATATACTCCGCATTAGATTGAATTAAACGTTTTCATAAACAATTACAAGCAAAACGCTTGAACTCTCATTTACTTTCAGTGTATGCACGTAAATACGTACGGTTGTTTAAATAGCTTTAAATGAATATTTTTTTACATGAAATTAGATACAAACATATACGTAAACACCTTTAATAAAATTTACATAATTATTTGAATCGAAAATAGAAATATTATACAGCAGAAGCCGTTGAGAATGTTTGTCAATGAATCAAGAAAGTAGCACCGCACAGCATGGCTCGTTTGATGAAGAACGAAAAAAAAACGTTGATT